TCAGGACCCAAAGGGTGCACCCCAGCACCCATGTCAGCAGTGCTCACTGATTAACATGTGGTCTTATTAGATGCACAAATGCCCATAGGCAAAATCAGCTGAGAATAAATGGCCAACATCCTCACCGACAAGGTCAAATCTTCCTTAACCACAACTGTCCTCCTACAGAAAGGCCGTCAATTTCTGAAAAGCCATATCTGGGCAATGGGTTTTGTTTTCTTTCTGTTTTTGTTTTACGGGGTGGGGCAGCAGGGGTACTGGGGATTGAACTCAGGAGCACTCAACCACTGAGCCACAGCCCCAGCCCTATCCTGCACTTTATTTAGAAACAGGGTCTCACTGAGTTGCTTAGTGTCTCACTTTTGCTGAGGCTGGCTTTGAACTCACAATCCTCCTGTCTCAACAAGTATGCACCAGCAATGGTTTTAAAAGTACAAACTGGCCCAACTACTGGAAGGCAGTTTGTATTAAAGCCTTTGAAATGCTCAACTCATCAGACACACGAACTGTATGTGAAGATGAGCACCTACAGGTGGGAGGACTTCAGCACAGCACTCTACAAGCCACATCCAGGCAGCCTAACAGAGCTTCAAGGACCACTGAGGGGCCAGGGCAGCACACAAAGACACGTAGAACAAGGCAAGTAACACTCAGCAATTCTGAAGGGTAATTCTTGTTCCATAACAATCAGAAATGCAGAAATCCATCTGCTTCCAAAAAGGCTAAAATAAAATGATAATCTGTCAAAGGTGAGCAGTCTGGGACAGATGAGTTACAAGCCACCTCAATGCCTTCTTCATAGTTTTCTTCTCAAACTTCCCATAATGACTATAGAATTGTTTGTTTTTATTTTGAATACCAGGGATTGAACCCAAAGGCAATTTACCACTAGCTACACCCTCAACCCTTTTTGAGACAGGGTCTCACTAAGTTGCTGAGGCTGACCTGAATGGAACTTGCTATCCCCCTGCCTCAGCCTCCCAAGTTACTGGTATTACAGGCAAGTGCCACCACACCTGGCCAAATAAAATAGCATTATAATCAGAAAACACTGGTTGGAAAGAAGACTTTTCCAACTGACTATAATTCTTATAACAAGGTGACATGACAAAGCCATCCAGGAGTGCATCCCTGCTTCACTCTCAAGTGCAGGCCCTAACCTTAATACCAGCACTCCTCAGCGTCTTTACAAAGTTAACCCGGTCTCAAGACTACAGTCTCAAGACGGTAGTACTGCTCATCCACACGTGCTGTGTATGGACCAAAGGGACCACCCCAGACAGACCTACCTTGTGAGAGACCCACAAAACATAAAACCCCTTAAAAAACTTTCCTGTAGCTGGGCACTGCACACGCCTGTACTCCTAGCAACTCAGGAGGCTAAGGCAGGAGGATCACAAGTTTCAGGCCAGCTTCAGCAACTTAACAAAGCCCTGTCTCAAATAACAAAAAGGACTGGGATGTGGCTCAGCCATAAAACACCCTGAGTTCAATCCCCTATACCAAAAAAAAAAAAAAAAGACTTTCTTTTTTATATATATATTTTTTTAATATTTAATTTTTAGTTTTAGGTGGTCACAATATCTTTACTTTGTTTTTATGTGGTGCTGAGAATCGAACCAGTGCCTTACACATACTAGGCGGGTGTGTTACCACTTGAGCCACATCCCCAGCCCAAAAACGACGACTTTCCATGTGAGTAGCACAGGAGGCAGAAAATGAACATGCTGTAGCACGCCCTTTCCATCCACTGTGAACCAGGACACCAACAAGGACCTGCCTCACCACCCTCCAGCATCTTCTTCAAAGAACCCCAGACTCCCAGGCCTCTGCCCCAGCAGGGTGCGTCAGGCTGCACCAGGATGGTGGGGGAAGGCCTCTCCTGGTTCCTCTCCTGTCCCACTCTGTCCATTTAGTGCCCACTCAGACCTCAGGCCCCCAAAATAAATCTCTCTGGAACAACTAAACCTGCTTAAAGCTGGGCCTTGTTCTAAAGCCTGACATCCAGTGGGGACTCCCTGACCTCTGGAGTAGGACTATCCAGAAGCAGCCCCCTCGAGATCCACGTCCCCTAGCACCAGCCGACCTGACAGGCCTTCATTGACCATAGCCCTCTCACAAGACTGGGAGCCAGCAAGCAAGCTTGTCTGCTCCTCTGGCCACATCTTCCACATGCCTACAGGCATCCACATGCCCATCTCAGGAAGGGCAGACGAACCCCACAGCTCCACAGACCTACAGGACTGCACTGGAATCGAGCCACAGCCAGCATCTCCCATCCTCATGCAATTCACACAGACACTGTCCACTGTCCATTCACACACAGCAGAGGGGCGCTGGCACCAGAGAAGCCCAAGGCCAGTTTAGTGTAAATGAGTGGGTCAGGGGTCTGCGCTACACACACACTTTTCCAAACTGGGGTCATTGGCCTAACTGTGGGTAATTTTATCCCATTAGGGTTTTTTTTTTCCCCCATATTCCTTGATACAAATATTCAAAATAATGTAAAAGTAAAAAAAATTTAATCCAAAACTTTCGTCACCCTACCATGGAAATACAAACCTCCCCATTCTCAAACACAACCTTCCAGTGCCGCTCTCCTCAGCAGGAGCACTGCAGAACAGCTCCAGAACAGCCCTGTGCCCATCAGCAGTGACAGTGCCCACACCAAGGCAACCTCAGACCCCAGGAGCAGACAGATGTGTCCAGGAGGCAGCCAGCGGCACCAGACCGGGTTGAAGCCTTACATCTAAAAACAGAAGGCCCCATCTCCTTCTTTTTTGTACTGGGCATTGAACCCAGGGGCACTTTACCACTGAGCTACATCCTCAAATCTTTTTATTTATTTATGTACTGAAACAGGGGTCTCAAAAAGCTGCTGACACTGGCCTCAAAATTGTGACCCTCCTGCCTCAGTCTCCTGAGTCACTGGGATCACAGGCAAGTGCCCCAATGCCCAGCCTCTTCTACCTGCTTTAACTTTACTGGTTTATTACCATCAGAGGCCCAACTAAAGGGCTGCCAACCCACAGCCGAAGACAGTTTTCCAGGCAAGAACCCCAAACAGCAACTGTTTCCCAGGTAGCAAATCAAAGGCTCCAGCTTATCATCCACATAAAAAAAAAGTGAAAGTGGGCTGGGGCTGGGGCTCAGTGGCAGAGTGCTTGCCTAGCACGTGTGAGGCCCTGGGTTCAACTCTCAGCCCTACATTAAAAAAAAGAAACAAACAAACAAACAAACAAAGAGAACTTCTGAGAACAATGCAAATTACCCCAAATCTCAGGAGCCCTTTTATCGCTCTCCTTTAAGATTACCAAAAACAGTTAATTATGTTTTGATCAACTCACACATAACCATCTATTTGTTAAAAGCACTCTTCAAATTTATCACTTAAACAGAGGATAGCTTATATTTATATACTGAACTAGACCTGGAAACACACAGACACTGTGCTGACTTCATTCTGAGTTCAAAGACACAGAGGCAGCGCACCCCACACATCCACATCCACACCCACCCACTTCCCACCCACACCCGCTGCTGTGCCTAGAGCTGCTCCATTTCCAGGGCAGGGGCTGAAGAGGGTCAGGACAGGTGGCAAAGATCCTCATAGGAGCAGGGCCATCAAGTCCTAGGTAAGCCAGAGTCCACCTTCTTAGGCAGCCTTTTGACAGGGCCCCAACAAACAAGGCTCTACCTACAGATACAAAGACTTAAGGGAGTCCCCCATGAATGCAGAGCACCAAGCACAGTAAGCAGCCAGGGTGGCAGTCCCATGAGTGCCCACAGGCCCTGCCCCTGCTGCTACCAGAACAGAAGGCATACTAGCTCCAAGACATCTGCAGACTAGAGTAGGCCAACCCCACCCATCATCAAGGACACTCCACTCACCCCAAGATGACGGTGACAACGGGGGGGGGGCTGCCCCAGTCAGGACATGGGGGTGGCCCTCTCGCCCCCAAGGGCATCCCTCCAACCCAGCGGTGAAGCAGGGAAGCCACCTTTGATCCATCCTAAGTAGAGCAGCCTAGTGCTATCCTTAACAGCTCTCAAAAAATTACTTCTCCTTGTTCTATTCAAATGTCACTGTCCCTGAGCATACCAAGGAGAACACTAGGTCAAGGCCTCTGGCTCTGAATCAAGTCCCCCATCCAGGTTCACTCTGCACAGCCTGCACCATGTGGGCGGGCAGGTAGCACACACCTGTGACAACCTCAGCAGCTTTTGACTGGCAGCACGAGGCAGCCCCAGCACCAAACTCTTCAACCACTCTAGACATGGATTTGACTTAATAAATCTGTCCTTACAAGATTTCACAACTTCTACAGCAACATCTGATTTGAAATAGTGAAAATGTTACAAAACTTAGGAGGATGCACACCTCTTCTGGATGGAACTCCACATCTTTCACAAAATAGCCAACCTCACATCACAGCCAGGAAACAGAGGATCCATGAACACTGTCCTCAGTCCCAGATCAAACAGCTACTGTGCATAAGTAATGTCTAAACTTCCAAGAACATCTCTTGAACCAAAGCACCTGCACTTTGAGCCACAGCTGGCCACGAGGCCAGCAGCTCCCATAACTACAGTAGCAGCTCTACTTCTTCTATGGCCTGACTTTGGGACTAAGCCAGCCAAAAAGGTGCAGCCAGCCACTAAGGGACTCTCCCTTCCCCACAACAGGTAACGCAATCGTCCTAGGGTGGGAAGCAGTGCCCCAGACAGTCTTTCAACACAGAGCTACCTTATGAAGCATCATCTTAAAAGGCAGCATGCGGACATCCCCAGGGCAGGGCACCTAGGCCAATGGGAGGACATGGCTTTCTGTCCTGGAGCAGGGAGCTAGAACCACAGAAAAGTAAATCCTATAAGAAATCACAATAAAAGGAGGCACATTAAGAAATGTGCCAATTGGCCACATTACAAGATAGCCTTTAAAATTAGCAGCTTCAACACAGCACCTACCTATCTAAAAAAGATCTTTTAAAACCACTTACCCACATGCTAATTTGGGGGTCAGATCACTTTCTCCTCTTTTCAATTCTGATCATGGACATTACGACGACTCTGACGTTAGACCACCCCAGGTTACACACGAGCAGCCAGTGCTTTCGGTGTTCTCGGACAACACCATGACAACGGCTATGACACTGTTTCCACACGTCTCTTAAGTCTTTTCCTCATCCTCAGTGGGTAGGACTTAGACTCGGGCACCTTCAAACGAGCAAATACAACTATAGTAACATAAATGTCTTACAAAACAGTCCTGACAAAGAATATCAAGACTGAGTTTGCTAAAACCAAATTCAGATGTTTAATTGAAGCTCAAAGGGTGCTGTGGGGATGGGGCTTTACTCAAGGCCCAGGACTCAGCTTCAGGACAGTAGGAGAAAGCGGTCCTCCCTGCCTTCTCCCACCACAACCTCCAGCCAGGAGAGGTGCGAGGAGGGGCAAGGTTCCCCATTCACACTCGACATCCTACTCCACACCTGTGTGCAGCTCCGAAACCCTGCCCTCCCCTGATCCTCACTCCACCAGTCTGCATCACAGGGTCCTAAAATGAGGAGCTGTCGGCCACCTGTGAATTTTGTTGGACTTTACTTCCACCTTTGGTCTGTATGTTTTTATTACGAAGCACAGCATCAATCAGAAGAGTTGAGCATTTTGTGATCCACCAATCACAGGATACGGCTAAAGTATTTATAACCTATCACTGTAGCTCAAGAATGGACTGCCCTGTTTAAGAAAGAAGTACCTGGCTTGGAGCATTAATGGTGGACTTAACTATACTCATTCAGCTTTCACTATTAAAATAAATAAATAACAGAATTGGTAAGTGTTTCTGATCAAAGAACTGAAGGGGGTCTTGAAGAAATGAATGTCAATATTTCATTTCCCAGAAAACACAGAGCCACTTTAAAGCACTGCTCCTGGGAGAGCATTTACACTCCAAAAGTGCAAGAGAGCTGTTCTCTGCTCCCCATGCATGAGTCCAGATGCAGAGAACCAGGAGAAGGAACACACACAACCCTCCATCTTTTTCAAGTTGTCTTCCAGTCAAGCACAGCCAGCTCTAAAACTGACCTTAAAACACAAGGCAGAAGTGAGTCTCAGGACAGCTCAAGAAGGCAAGGCTGCCCTTTTCAAATGTCTTCCTTCTCCCAAGTAGAAAAAAAGAGGTGGGCTTTACCTGTAAGATGCTTACAGAAAGAAACATGGCTAACCCCAGATGGCCACGGGTGAGAGGACGCCATGGGCACCTAGTCACCAGCTGTCAGGATGAAAGGGCAGTGTGGGGACATCCTTGCTGCGAGAGAGGCACTGTTGAAACAGGCAGGACCACTGCAAGGGTGTTTTCCTAAGTAGATACAAATTACTGAGGCATTTCACCATGTACCACCTTTTCAAAACTAACAACTAAAACTCAGCCATATTTTCCACCAAAAGGTCAAAACACACATAACCATCAACACAGAGCCTTCTAGCAAACACCCATCACTGCACATTCTTTAGTGCCCAGAGGTTGGCAAGGACACCCCACAAATTCTTGGGTGCTTCTCTCACATCTCCTCTTTTCCTCCTCAGAGCTGGGCAGTCCCTATTGCCAACCCAGAGTCACTGTTTCTGGCTCTCACGTCGCCCGCTCTTGCCCCAGTGAAGCAGATCCCAACGTGTGACCAGCAGCCCTGAGACCCATGGGCAATGACAAGAAAACGTGCTCCTCAGAGGCTGCAGCTCTTTGAACTGACCCTCAGCTCTTCCCAATAAGCAGAAGAGGACTAGTGGCAGGGCCATGCTTTCCTCCCTCATCCACTACTACTGCCACTCCACGGTAGCAGCTACAGCTGCTGCACACATCACTAGTACCAGAGAGGAGTGCTCAGAAGCCCAGCACTTCAGCCCAGCGTTCAGTGGGAGGGCTCCTGTCTGAGCACTCCCAAACAAAAGCAGCTTGGCATGTGATACAGGGCAAGAGATCACCAGTGAAACCTCAGGGGCCCCAAAGAACTCAGGGTGACAAAGCAGAGGGAGTGTAGAGAAGAAAGAGGCTGAAGCAGATTCTGCACTAAAAGCATCCCCTGCACATGTGTTGGGCTCCACATCCCACCACCTCCTGCACCCCAGACTCCTGGCTGGGAGTGTCACACTGATCTCAGGGGATGGCAACAACAAAAGCCTAAGGCCACACTCAGGACCAACCTGGAGTTCAAACTGCTCCAGCATCTGAGCACTAGCTCTGACTTTAGTAGCAGCAGGAAGCCCAAGCTTTCCATCCAGACTTTTCCACCTGGGGGGTAGGGGGGTGCCCAACCTGGACCTAACCTGCACAAGGAGGAGGATGCTCTCTGGCCCACCACAGCAGCCCTGGATTAACAATGAGGCAGCTGAGTTCAGCGAGGGCCCTGCCACTCAAAGGGGCAAGGTCCGACACTGGGGAGCCCTCAGAGCAAGCAGGGGCAGCAGCGCAAGACAGCCTCCATGAGAAGCCCCTAGGCGAGCAACTCAGAAGCGCAGACAGGCATCAAGGCCGCTAAGCAGGAGCAGCCGGCTGAGCCAGGGTGGCCCAGCGGCCTCGCTGGCTCACCGGACACCCAGGCTGGCCTCCGCACCTGGGCAGAGGCGCCCCTCAGCCGGCAGCCGCGGGCAAGCCGCGAGGCA